TGGAGGCATCCCACCTCCTTCAAATCCAGAAGAAGCAAATGCAGTGTTGACTGAAGAGACAATGAAGGCAGCAAGCAGTGGCACTCGAAGCATATTTTTGCACTTCATGACAACACCTGGTTTCAGGCCACCAAGGCCATCCTCAAGAAAATGAGCTGCTGTTGTAGAAGAGCAAGGGAGTAGTGCATGAGCCAACTGACAAGGAGTGCATATAATGTGATTTTTTTGTAAATTCTGGCCATATGTTTTTGGAGGCCTTATATAGTTTAAATGTAATTTTTTTTTTATGCATGGCCATATTGTATTTATAGGCCTTACTTTTGATTCCTGTCAGTTGGTTGTTATTTGTAATGCACTACTAGTTTCTAGTTCTAGGACAATTATGTGTAACTGAATTGTGTCTTCTGGTTGAACAAAGTGGTCAGCACATGTATGTGCCTATTTCTCTATCATGACTGAGTTATGTAATTGTATGACCATCTGTTATGCACTTCTGTGAAGCAATATGACGGTCATGACATTTCTTTTCATTCGTTGCAGTTGGCTATATTCCGGACATGCATGTCATGCACAAAAATATTTAACTGACCTATGTATTTTTAACTGAGTACTGCATTTATTCTTGTTGAACAAACTGGACAGCAAGCATTATCTGATGTAATGCATGTCTGTTTTGTTGATTTGGACTGCACATCAAAAGCATGCAAGTATGTGCCTATTTTTTTCTGCTTGTAGAGGGTGATGAATGTTCCAGCAATGCAGTGTTCCAGCTCTTATGTTCCAGCTGTTCTGTTTTATGTTTTTTAAGTGAGTTATGAAAGTGTAGTTCTTGGACCTCCAAGTCATGTGCTATGCACTTTTGTTTTGTAATCTCGGACTGCAAGTGTTTCAATCCCTCATGTCCTATTTTTCTGTGGTTAGGGACCAATAAGGGCCCCGAGCACATTGTCAGGGACTAAAATGGCCCTCGTGTAATTTGACAGGGACCAAATTGGCTCTCGTGTTTTGGCATGATTAACAAATGTGCATAACAATATGGAACTTCTGTATCAGCTTATGCATCTATATCTGTACATGGATGGTTTGTGATACAATGTAGCAAACTAGCATCCAGTACTGCAGTAGTTGATACACAAAAATATGATACTATACACAAACAGATTCAAACCAGATTCAAACCAGATACAATCTAGCATCCAGTACTGCAATAGTTGATACACAAATATATGATACTATACACAAACAGATTCAAACCAACACAGAATGCTCCATATAATATAACCTTCTTCATTAATTGGTATAACAACAGAACTGATAACTCATTACACATCATTGAAGGAAAAATACATTGGGGTAACTTCTTTTGACTGTTAACACACTAACAAAAAAACATACACATGATGAACACACCTACACAAACAGCACCTAACACCCTAGCTGTCCTACCAACAATTCTAATTTGTTTGTCCATCCTATCTAACTCCTCCACCATCTTCAGGTATAGATCATTCAGTTTTCTTTCCTGCTCATTAAGCTTCATTCCTTGCTCAGTAATCTTCACATCTTTCTCTCTCATCATCATGTCCACATACCTCAACTTGAAATTAATTTCAGCAACATCCAACTCCACACTGTGAATTCTTGCTTCTTCCAGCTCCACACTGTGAATTCGTGCTCTACTTTCCAAAGCTCCGAACCCATTTGCACAAAACGTCGTCGTTTGCTCATCCAAGGTGTCAACCGTCCAAGCCCCGTCATCACACTAACGTACCACATGGGCACCGTTAGTTTGGCCGTGACGGAGGAGTTGACAGAAGGACTAACATGGCCCCTTTTTTTTGTAATTTTAGGGACCAATTTGGTTCTTTTTTATTGCCAGGGACTAAAAAGGACTTCATGGATATTGTCAAGGACCAAAAAGGGTGTTTACTCTTCTTTTTATTTTTTCTTTCTTATTTCTCTGGGTTCTTTTCTTTCTATCTCTGCCTCTGTTTCTTTCTTTCCTTCTTACTCTCTGTTTCTCCTTCTTTTCTTTTGTTCCCTTTCTAAGTTTTCCGTTAAGTGATCACACACACACACACACACACATATATATATACACACACGTTACATAATTCAAATTACGTTGTCTTTTCTTTTGTTCCCTTCTTCTTTTCTTTTGGGTGGCTTCTCTGGGGTAGCTGTAGACAAGCTTATCTAAAGTGGCTGCAGAAATATTTTTTCCATATATATATATATATATATATATATATATATATATATATATATATATATAACATTTTCTCCTTTTAAAAGAGAAACTTTTTCTCCTACTAGTGACTCATAGCATAAGTAGGTCCCACCTTATTTTTTTTCTCTTTTCACTATTTTGTCGACCCCGCTTATACTATGAGTTATTAGTAAGAGAAGAATTAATGTGTTTCTTATGTTACATGAGACAATTTCTCTTATGCAACACATAAAAAAGTGGGTGAGACCCACCTTTTTTCTTTCTCTCTCTTCTTCAAAGTGGGTCCTATTCACTTTTTTGTGTGTTGCATGAGACAAATTATCTCATGCAACATGAGAAAAATCAAACCCATGTATATATATATATATATATATATGTAAATATATGGGTTTTATTATTCTTCTTCAACATAAGATAGGTATCTTATGTTGTAGAGATAAAATGGGTGGGTCTCACCATTACAAGAAAAAAGAAAAAAAAAGGTGAGGTGCGGAAATCGAAGTGAGAGAGTAGGAGAGAAGTAATCTTATGTAAAAAGAGAGTAATATTTCCCTAAATATATATAGGGTTATGTTTATCTCATTTTACATGAGATAAACAACTCTCCTACACACAAAAAAGGGTTGGGTCCCACACTCTTTTTTCTCTCTCCTCTTTCCTGTGGGTCCCACTTATACTTATATTTTTACAGCATGAGGTAATTTTTTTCTACAACATAAGAAAAATATATTCTACATATATATATATATATATAAATAAATAAAGAGAGAGATAGTACAAAAGTTTTACATGTCTGAAATTTAACAAGACACTTCAGTTCTTAAACCTTTTTTTTTTAGTAAATCTTAAACCTTTTTCGATTTGGTAGCAATAACCTTACCCAACAAACACCCAACGTTCTTCTTGGGACAAAAAAAAAAACAACACAACACAACCAAACAACCTTTCTGTATAGCTATGGCAGACTATGAAATTCAGCACCACCATCACCACCAACAAGCTGTGTCAAAAGAGACAGCTTTTCAAGCCTTGAACACCATCATACAGCTCCATTTCGAGAAGACCCTGGAGAAGAAGCGTGCCATAGACCTTCAAAAGAAGGATCTTCACAAACTATTCCAGATTTTCTTCATCTTCCTAAGCCTTATATTCCTGGCTCAATCCCAGTCACCCCGTCTCGAATGCCGCCATTGTTGGATCCCCATCACTCTTCTCTCCATGGCCCACCTCAGCTTCTATATCTCCGTGGCACAGACCCTCAGGTGCATCAATGGCTTCAAGTACCAGAGGCGTTGCCACAAGCTCACCCTTGGCTTGGCAACTGAGAAGCTTAGAGAGATGAAGATGAGACTCAACAACAACGCTGAGTACGATGGGATTGGTGATGAGGACTTTGAGATTCACTACCAGGAACCCCCTGAAAGCTATTTTGGTAAGTTCAAGAGGAATTGGGCTCTTCATTTTGGTTTCTTGATCTTGATCTATGGCTTTATGGTCTCTTCCTCAGTCGTTCTTCTCTGTTTTTAAGAACAAGTTGATTTAATTTCTTAGAGAAGAGTGGTGCCACGATATTTTTTATTTTATTTTTTTAAATATAAAATTGTATGATTGAGTTCATTTCAACTTCAGTGCTAATTCTGAAATGAAATCCATTCTCCTCATGCTAATCGCTCATCATTTCTTCTATGCAATTATTTTATATTCTCTATGAACCGTTATTGCCTCTATCAGTCAAAAAGGGCTAACTGGTTAATGCCAGTCAAAAAGCTATGATCTATGGTAGCCTAAGAGTATATTCTCTATGAATGTATCAAAAGAAAGTGCGAACTGAGAAGATATTTGTCATAAAAGGGTTGCCACCACTGGATAATCAGCTCCTATGGGAGAGATTCTTACTGTATTGTACTGATCTACGGAGAGTACTCTTGGTTTACATTGCATTCTAAATACATCCCCACGTAGATAGCTTCCATGATGAAACAGCTCCTAAGTGTGTGCTGAGGTCTAAATCTAATGGTCACGTTTGTAGTTACTTTGCCATCCATCTCACAGGCGAATAACTATAGGAACACACTTTACTCTCTCAAATCTAAAGGTAGGATTTCGTGGAATCCACAATCATTGTGCACATAGCAAAAAGGAACTTTTTACCCCTTTCTGCTACCCGAATCACTTTCTCAAGAACATCTTATTATCTCTCTTTTGTTGCTTTGACTCATCAGTCATCATCACCTTTTCTGTGCTTAATTTTTGGCAAAAGGGTGTAACGAAAACTAATCAATGGATTTTATGGCATAACCCTCTCGAGGGTATCTTTCTTCTTTCTTTTAGCTCATTCTCATGTTAAGAGTACTTTCGTTATATGAATTGTTAAAGAAAACATAAAAAACCACTTTTATATAAAGGACAATTGTTAATCTTTTTAAATGACACAACTTATATCATTTTACTCTCACAAAGAAATAAGATCCACACTTTTATATTTTTTTGACCACTTTCTCTTCTCCTTTATCTATCTCTTCCTCTTACTTAAAATGACACAATTTTTCATCCTTTAAAAAAGATACACACTTTTCCCTTTATATAAAGGCTAAGAATCACTTCACCTTTCATTATCTGAAAGACTTGCGTCTACATGACATGGCTAATTTAGTTTAGCGTAATTACGCTTTAAAAGGAAAAAAGAAAAATAAAATTCCTACCAAGGGATTATCCGAGAAAATATCACGCTGTATTTCAAGGGAGCATCCAGTGGTAGCGGATAATTAAATTTTGCATTAAAAATAGAAGGGCTATTTCTCTTGCTGAACATTCACTTCTCTTCCAGTCAGAGTGAGCACTTATTTAACATTCAAAATTTCAATTCTCTTTTTCTTTTCTTTGTTTTTCTTTTTGGAGTTGCAAATATTGACTTTTTTTGTGAATGAAATACAAACAAATGTACAACATTGACCATCTCTGATGGAGGTCATTACTGACTTGAAAGCTGTAACAAAGTCACATTTCCACCTAAGCCGGGGAGAGAGCATTGCATAATGACTTGTATGCATTTACACACAGTTTGAATTTCTCTTCGGCTATTGCCTGTTATCACGGAAAGGCAAAGTGCAAACATGAGATCATACAAAACGTATAACCAAAAAGATGAAGAGAGAAAGGTGGGTTTATGGTGCACTGAAGCATCTTAAACATGCCTGATATAACAAATTTTGATAATTTAGAATCTAACCTAGTTAAAAGCCATCTGAATCAATGACATAAATTAGCATGACCGGGCAGTAAAAGCCACCGGAGAGAAAAGGATTGGTTGTTTATTCATTGTTCATAAATGTTGTAGAAGGTATATAATAGCAATTTCACAGGGATTGAGAACTACTTTTGTGCTTATAAATTTGATATATTCATCTCAAGAGTCTAGTTCAGGATGATTTCACACTTTACATCTACTCCCAAGAAGAAAGTTTTTAGCTATTACTATGTGTTTTGAAGAGGGAGGCTTGCCAACCTAACACATGAAGATTTCATACATGTTGCCCCTTCCAATTTTAAGTTTCTAAATGTATTTAAGAGGCAGATATGCCAAACAAATATTTCAAACTCACCTGGGAAGGGTCTTGATGCTTATCAGGATGCCATTTTAAAGCTGATAAACGGAAACTATAAGGAAAAAGAAGAAATTCTCAGCAGTTTGTAATGTGTGTATAATTTCTCTTATGTCTGGTACAAGAGCTATCATCGAACAGAAACCCTGAAGCACTTACGCATTTTTAACATCTTCAATCTTTAATGGACCTGTTGGAGGTAGACCAAGAGTAGTTCTATCAGAAATTGATCCTACACAAAATGAGTCATCATCATCATACTCGGCGTCACTTGCACTTGTCCATTTGTTTGTTCTCTTTGAATACTCCCTCCATTCAAACCCAGATGTGGAATGTTCAGAACCAGATCTCCTCCAATTGCCAAAGGTCCAGGTATACCATTTGTTACCAAATGTTGCCTGGAAGATTTGCTCGGGACGGCCATCAAAGTCTTCAGAGAAGCTTTCTCTTCTGATTTTTCCTGAACATATAATGGATATCAATGGCTAGGAAAGTAAATAAACGTGTTAAGAAACATTTAGTCAGACAAGGAAGTCCCAGATGGAATACCAAAACATCTTTAATATCAGATTAATTTGCAATATACAAATAATGAATTGTAATGACCATAATGTGTACCAAAACATTGTAAAATTTTAACTACAATGACTGCACTCTATTGCTATATATATAGCAGGAAGTGTGCACTTTCCTAACTACTAGAAAATCCATTAAAAATAGTTGAATGAAATACACATATTTCCGGAGATTTGAAAATTACAAATACAACTCTAAATGAGGTAAATTGCAAAGACATTATTTGACTAAGAAATTAAAGGTGGCCTTTTCATATTAAAATTTATAACAAGAGAGGTTCTAGTAATTCGTCCATTTGCCAGGGGTATTTGTAATATTTCAGAATCTCACAGGATATGTTTATTCCTCAAAATAATTAGCTGCCAGATTTTCAACTTATCTCCTGAACTAGAAATTTTAACAAATACAGACATGTGATTGAGGCTGGGTGAGAAGAAGAAACAAGGAGGAACAAACTGTATAAGAGAATTAAAATGAACTCACGTTTATTTTTCTTTTGTGGTTTTCCACCAAGCCGCTGACCAGACTCTGGTTGACCTTTATTTTTCTTTTGTGGTTTTCCACCAAGCCGCTGACCAGACTTTGGTTGACCTTTATTAGAATAGCTATTTGAATGATCATCTTGGTCTCCATACCATTTGGAGTTTCCTTCAACTTTCCATTTTGTCTCTTTGTCCTAGGAGAAAGCACATCAAAAAAACAAAACCATCGCAAATTGTTGACAGTTAGAAATTCTAATACATACATATAGAACACAATGTGAGGTATTCAATACAAGCAATAAAATTATTCAAGTTCATTAGATAAAGGACAAGTTGCATTTTTATATAAAGTTCAGTTCATTAGCACCTCTGCAATTGTTACCAGGGGGACATAATTCTGCAGCCACTACTCATGGCACAACAGGGAGAGAGGCATTTCTCTATTTCTAAATAAAATCCAAATTGATTGATGGGCTATAGTCAGCAAAATTAGTTTAAATTGCATTTATCATTTAAATTTTCTTGTATTACACTACATACTTGAGGTACAAGGATATGATATATATGCAAGTAATACATATATATCATATTTTTCCTATCCTATACCCGATATCTAGGGGCAATGCTGAACAATTCATGAAGAAAGTCCCATCAATATAGTACAAAAATCTTATTTCAAAAACAATGATTTCTTGTACTTGCAATTCATCTTTCTTTATGCAGAAGCTTTACCCACACAAATTCTAACCCAGCAAAATTTAAGCAATCATAGTGGAAGTAAGCAATATAAAATGTATTAGTAATAGTAACATAAAATGACAAAGCTTCTCAACATAATCAAGATCTTAGAAAGCATACCTCAAATGAAAATTTAGAGGATCCACTAACGTAAAGGAGATTATTCAGAGCTTTCTTTGCATCAGCACGCTTTTGACGTGTAACAAATTTTATATGAGTCTGAAATTGACATTTCCAGCATAAGAGAACCAACTTATAAGGTGGTGTTTGATATACATGTTAGAATGGGAAGGAACAAAACACATGGGTTCTATTCTATATTTGATACATTTTAAAAATAAAACAATAAAAAGTCAATTCAACCTAATAACTTAAGCTCTTACCGCTCATTGTAAAGGCTCTAGTACCATGTCATAAACCAACTCTCCCCAAAACTTAAGTTATTTGGTGAAGGCAGATGAATGTTTATATATTATATTATATTTCTAGCAAAAACCGAACAAGACATGGGGTTTAAAAGTAGTATATTTTGGTTCTACTAAAAAGGATGGAACCAAGGAGAATAGAACATAACATAAAGTTCCATTCCGTTCTGTTCAGAAGTGAAACACTACCTAAATAATTATATAGATGTCAAACAAGAAGGGTTTCCCCCATAATAGCTGTATGAAAAGCAAGGGAGATACAACTATATCAATCTTAGACTACATGCTAAACAAATTTCAATCCAAATTCCTTATTAATCTCTACAGATATTGGACAACCAACTAAAAAATCCTATTGCATCTCATAGTTAAAAAAAGCCCCTTGAGCTTGAGAAATATGAAATCAATAAAACCTCACCATAGGAGTGTAATACACTCTAATACATACGAAACTAAAGATTGTCCAGCAACAAAGGCAGGCTTGCACTTAATTTGAGTAATTAGCCTTTGTTTTGTTTATTATGTGTCAACAGTCAACAAAAAATATCAACCACAAACCTAGAGCAATTGAAAGTCCAAGGATTCATTAAACAGAAGCACATCAAAGACGTCAATGTTAACAAAGCACATTGTATGGTCAAGAAAAAAAGAAAAAAAATGAAGAAATATAGTACAACATGTGCATATATCTTTTCTTCCCTACTCCTTCCCCCATTTTCTTTTTAATTAGCACTTGAACCCATCATCTACAAATAGAAAATGCATTTTCATTGCATGCCTAGTGTAAGGTGTATAAAATCTTAACTGTACAGAAATAGTTTAACAGGTTCCAGTTAACTACAGTGCTGTCATGTGTGGCTGTGTGCAAGAAGCATGCAACAGGAAGAGTCCAAATTGCTCTAATCATTTACAAATGCTACAATCAATTCGCTTATTCAGATACGTTCATATTAGGAAATTTTGTAAAACTTTAGATACAGAACATTAACAAATGCTATTTGTCAATGATGACCACTAAGAAAATAATTTGAATAATACTGTTTATTAGTGGATTTTGAAAATAATTCAACAGAGGCAGCTGGAAGCGTGGAACAATTGAATCTATGCATCACAGCAAAGCTTTTTCTCCAATTCAGAATGCATGAGGCTTCATGATCTCATACAAAGACAAGTTTGTGATGTAATCAAGATACTAATAGAGAACATTTAAATAACAACAATATATTAACTTGCATAATTTGGTCTAGTTTACTGTTTTACCATAAAATGCTTAATCTTTCTGTTTCATAAATTTCTTATACTCAAGAAAGCCAAAAATAATTAGGCAGAATGTGCTATATCGCCTAAAGAAAATGAAACCAAATATTCATTTCTTTCTTTCTTTCTAAAGTTATATGATGCACTGCATACCTTAGATGGTTGTTGACCACTCCTCGTATCCTGCAAGAAAAAAAAGAAACATTGTAATAATTTCCAAACTTTCTCATAGCCGGTAAAGCGTAAAGAGTTAATCCCCTCGTCCAAGAAGAAATGAGAACATAAACAAACCAAATTGAGAAAGAAGATGATATATAAAAAGACGAACGCAAAAAGGTAAGCCAATTCCTAGTGGCAAGTCATCTTTACTATCAGAAGTGGAGCACATAAATTTGGGTTTCAAAAGGCGAAATATTTCCCATTGGAAAATGTAGTAATTCACTTCTCAGCCAAAAGTGCATAACAAATTAACAACAAATTGGTGCAATAATTAAACAGCCAACTGCCACTATATGAGTTCAACAATCAACACACAATATAATCATGCCAATTGAATTTGTATGTGATGTAAAAAGTACTCCAATTTTGTCATTTTTTCAACTACTACACAATTCCATTTCCACCTATACCGTTAACATTCAACACGCAATGCAAATGCCCTTTTGAAATAAAAAATAAAAAAATAAAAAAAAATAAAAAAACTCACGGAGTTCCATTTGCTTTTCCATTTCTGAGACGAACATGGAGTGGAATGAAATGCAGAGGAACGCGTGACGGAGGGAATCAAGTGAGTCTTCATGGATAACAAGTTTCGCCATCGTGATACTTGCATATTGATGGAGGTCGAAAAGCGTTTTCTATGTCTATGAGACCAAAGTCGAAGGAATCTGCAGCTTACATTCAACGACGCTGTCGTTTAAAGGGAATAGTCTTGTCTTGTGTGTGTGGGTTTGAGTTTTGAGGTAAAGCCACAGCATCGCCGAGGTTGTCTCCCTAATAACCTTCACTCCTTTTCTACCTCTCCTCTATCATAGGAATTTATGCCACAAACTATGGGCCTCGATGAGGCCCGATAAGATATAGAAGTGGCCCAAAAGGACATAAAAGTACGAAAAGCACGTTCATGAAAAAAAAGAAAAAAAAGCCCATGTATTCTAACAATAATAATCAATGTGGGTAGAAAATTTATGCAAAAAAAAAAAAAAAAAAGCCCATGGATTCTAACAATAATAATCAATGTCGGTAGCAAATTTATGCAAAAGAAAAGAGAAAAAAACGGATTTAGTTTTTTTCTTCAAAAATAATAAGTATAAGGAAAAAAACATATATTTTTGAAGTTATATAAATAAATAAATAAATTTAGTTGTATAAATAAAAAAAGGGAAAAGTGTTTGTCATTTTAAATGGAGAAAAATGTGTATCATTTTAAAGGATGTAAAGTTGTGTCATTTTAAGTGAGAGAAAGAGATAGATAAAGGAGGAGATAGTGGACAAAAAAATATAAAAGTGTGGGTCCCACCTCTTTATGAGAGTGAAATGATATAAGTTGTGTCATTTAAAAGGACAAACATTTTTCCCTAAATAAAATTAATAAAAAGATACACCTCAAAAGTGTATCTTTTGTTAAGCAAGACGATCGACCTATCTAATAAAAATTTTCTCCATTTTTTAAAATCAAATTATTTAGTTTCTCTAAATAATAGTTACTTTTGTGTTTTTTTAATATTGTAAATTTGCTTGTATACATATATATGTGTTCCCACTTTTTCGGGTAAACGTGTATGTGACAATGACCATTTTGTCACGTTACTGGCAAAAAATTACCAGAATATCACGCTTCCTAAAAAATTTGCCAAAATGTCACGTAACCAAAAACGCTACAACATTGAGCGTTTTAAGTTTGGACACATGGCAGTGAGTTTGAGGCCACATAAATTCACTAAACAGTCCTGCATTTTTAACCAGTCAACGTGCCAAGCCTAAGTTGCTTTACTGTACGGTGCATTACGTGACATTTGACACGTGGAGAGAGAGGACTGAAGTCGCTGGATAATGTAGAGACTATAGTGCAATGTGACATATACATATGGAGTATCATGGGAAAACGATAAAAGGTGATTTAATGTCCAATAAATGCTGATTTATTTTTTGTTTCTTTTTTAAAAATATAATAAACAATAAAGACGATTTGCTTTTCCAAGTAGCATACGCAAGCACGAAAAACATTTAACATTTGCATGATTCAAACCTACCATTATCAGCCCAATGAATTAATCAATTCTGCAAATTTAATGTCAAATAAATATTGATTTGTTTTTTGTTTTCTATTTGGAAAACATAATAAAAAATAAAGACGATTTTCTTTAAGGAAAATATTTGATATAATTTTATTAATTTTTAATTTAATTAGCCCAATGAATTAACCAATTCAGCAAAAAGAAATATTGGACATTAAATTAAAAATCAATAAAATTATATCAAATATTTCCCTTAAAGCAAATCGTCTTTATTGTATATTATATTTTTCAAAAGAAAACAAAAAATAAATCAGCATTTATTGAACATTAAATTTGCACAATTGATTGATTCACTGGGCTGATAACAATATGTTTGAATCGTGCAACTGTTAAATGTTTTTCATGCTTGCGTATGCTACCTGGAAAAGCAAATCGTCTTTATTATTTATTATATTTTTCAAAAAGAAAACTAAAAATAAATCAGTATTTATTGGACATTAAATCGTCTTTATCGTTTTTCCATGGATACTCCATATGCATATGCCATGTTGCACTATAGTCTCTGCACTATCCAGCGACTTCAATCCTCTTTCTCCACGTGTCAAAATGTCACGTAACGCGTTGTATAGTAAAGCGATTTAGGCATGACACATAGAGCTTGTTTGTATTGGCTTTTTATAAAAGTCATTTTTATCACTTCCTTATTTTAAAAGTACTTTCTATAAAAGTTACAATTATTTAGATTTTTTAAAAAATATTTGATTTTTGAAAAAAATATTTAGCTTTTGACTTCTGCTTTTCTTAAAAGCTAAAATTTTTAGCTTCCGAAAAAAGTATATTTTTGACTTTTTTTATGACTTATGCTTTTTTTAAAAGCACGCATCTAAATAGACTTTTTCGAGAAGTGCTTTTTTTCCTTAAAAAAAGTAACTTTTGAAGAAAAAAAAGTCCATCCAAACGGGCTCGTAGACTGGTTGAAAATGTTGGACTGTTCAGTGAGTTTACGTGGCCTCAAACTCGCTGCCACGTGTCCAAACATAAAACGTCATATGTTGTAGCACTTTTGATGAAGTGGCATTTTGCAAAGTTTTTAAGGAGCGTGGAATTCAGGTTAATTTTTGCCAATAACGTGGCAAAATTGTTGTTGTCCCCATGTATATCAGCACACATACATGCTTGTTTGGTGGTGAGTTTTATATAGTGGAGAATCAAAAACATGTTACATAATCGTTTATTTAACTTTAGCAGATTGCATGATATGAGAATTTGGATTTATATTAATGTTTATGACTATTGAAAATATAATAGCCCTAACCCAATTAATTAGCAAATTACATGTAGTTAAATAATTAAGCATGTTTTAGTGAGTAAAATTAAGTATAAGGCTTAATTAAATGAATTTGAGTCACTTTGGAGTTAAAAAGTGTACTCAGTGAAAATTAAGGGGAATAAATGGGTACTGGCGAAAGTGCCCAAAATATAAAAATAAAATTATAAATATTCCTAGAATAATATTCCAGACTTTTGGGTAAAGTTTGGAAATTAATGGAGTTGAATAGATAGACGAATCAATACCCGCTTAAAGTCACTTAACCTATGTTAAGTGACTAAACCACAAAAAAGAACCCAAACCCCCCCATTTTCCCGTCGACCATCAGAGAAGAAAGGAAGAAGAAGGAGAATAAGGAGAAAGGGAGGAAGAGAGAGAGAGAGAGAGAGAGAGAGCAAATCTTAACCGATTGGAGTGATTCAAAAGCCTAAATCGCTTAGAATCTCCTCTTCTTTCATAATCCTAACTTATTTTGAGTGGGGAGCATTGTGGAGAGAGATATTGCCTCTCAAAAATTCGGCCATTTGGTGAAATTTGGGGTTTTGAGTGCTTCAACCTCCATTGAAGCTTGAGGAGCCATCAATCCTTGGTTGTGCAACCATTGGTGGTAAAATTCTACCCCTTGAACCTTATTTTCATGGAAAATTGCATGAGTTAGGGTTCAATGAATAGTAAATTAGGGTTTTTGATGAAATGTTGTTAAATTAGCTATGTTCTAGGAAGAATGGAGCTTAGAGCATGTTGTGAAAAATGCTAGGAACGATGTTTAATCGGTGAAAATGAGCTTAGATAGCTAAATGAGTATACTTGGAAAATGGCAAGAATATGACACTTAGATATTGGATTTCTTGCATTGTTGATAAATGGTTTGGTTTGGTTGGTTGTTGATTATGCCTTGGTGTTGTCTAGGATTGAGGCAATTGGACCAACCATTGGAGCAAGCTATGGAGCTTGATTAGCTCCATTGGATAGGTAAGTTCATGCTTATGTTTGGTATGAATTGTATAGCTTGGTTGATAGCTATGAGATGTTATTGGATGCAATATGTGTTAATTACATTAAACCTTGTGTAGGTTTTGTTTGAGAAGAGTGATTATTGTAAATGGCTGCTGAAACTGTTGGTGAAGAACAAAGGTCGAATTGAAGCTTGGTGTGAACACCTAATTTTGTCCTAAATAAAAATTTATTATGAGCACCATTTTTCTCAAAAAAAATAAAATAAATAAATAATAAAAAAAAATGATAATGAAAAAACCCATAGTCCCCATCAATGTGTCAATATCACTGCTCAAAACGGAGCAACTCAGCTGGCGCCTCTGTGTAAGTAGAGCCACTTTGTTCAAAGAAGAGCAGAGAGCAAAAATAGGTGAGGAGCAGAATCAAAAGCTAGAAGCAATGTCCAAAAGAAGAAATTGGAGAAGACCACACACTGAGTAGGCCTGAGCGTCTTGGAATGCATGGAAGATCCAACTCTTTCTTAAATCCATCGGGCTTAAGGAGGAAAGGCTGATGTTTTTCTTCTATAAAAGCTAACAGCAAAGAAGTGAAAAAGGGGTTTTTTTTTTTTTTGAGATTTTATGGAGAGCAAAACGGAAACAGAGAGGAAGTAAAAAAAAATCATAGAAGAAACCAGCAAAAAATACTCAAACCAAGCCTGACCCCAGATTTTCCAACATAAACTCCACAACCTCCTTCATCACAATCTTCCAAAAAATGTGAAATACCAAAAACCCAAGGTCTCATCCCCCGCCACGGTCGCCATTGGGAGATTGTCCACCACCGTGCTACATCGTCCAAAGCTCACGCGATCCCTACCACGCCCTCGCCGTCAACTGCTGCAAGTTTCTCCATCACCATCGTGAGGACCTTCATTTGATCGAAGACTTGTAAGTTGTTTTTGGTGTTAAAATATTATTGCCTCTCTTGTTGATTGATCTGGAAGTTTCCAAAGGCATGATATGAAGAAATAGTGATCTCATTTATTTGTTTGACCCTAAACGTATACACTGGAGCGTGGCTGGAATGTTGAAGGAACAAGTTGAAATATATTATCTCTTGATCTCAGCCACATGTGATGTGTGGTCATGAATCTCTATCCATTTTATTTGTTTCATGTACCATTAGGAGGCCACGTATTAACTTGGGTGCATGATTTTTGTCCTATATTAGTTTTTGTCTTTGTGATGTATGATAGAATTAATTAATGTGCAATTTTTCCCTGATGTTATCAGAAACATCAAATGCTAAAAATATGATTAAAATAATATTGTTAGAAAATATCACATGCAAAATCCCTTTTTGATGAAACACACCTGTGGGTGTAGCTATGCTGTTTACCGAAAATATATACAAGTGATACACCATCCATTTTGTAATTCTTATGAAATGAATATTTTAATATTTCATAGGTTAGGAAACTTCAGCTTTTTA